ATTGTGCATTATTATCTGTTACTGCAAGTCATTGGCCCTAAATGCTAGTTTACAAACACTGGAAAGTTGAGATGGGTGTAATGCAAGGCAAGAGTCCTGCAGTTCGATTTCTAAATAACCCCAGTGAAGAAAGGGGTTAACATTTTCAAATTCTGCCAGCAGCCAAGGCAAAAAGCAAGTCCTTCTCAAAGGAGTTACCTAACAGGCGGTTTACAGATTTTGCAGCATATTGACAAGGGGCGTTCCTAACAAGAGTTGGGCCATTTTCATCAATAAGGAGCTTTGCAGCAAGTCAGGGCACGATACAGCCCTTTAATCATCGGAATGGCATCGTGTGGCTATTTAGTTGTAGCAATAAAAAGAAAGGTTTTAGCTTACATGGCGAACAGCAAGAAATTAACCCCGTGGTTAACGTCACTATTTGTCTGGTTTTCATATCTTTTTTTTTTTTTTTTTTTTTTTTCTCCATTCTTTAAAACAAAACTCTGCACAAGGGGAGAACGTTCTTAATGAACATTTTCCTCCTCTCTCTTTAGACATAAAAAATAGTTCAACCAGCCCAACCAGCCAAGCAGGCCTTTCTCTTCCCCTGCGGACACCTCCTGCAGTCGAGAAGTTCATTAAGTTTTATGATCTTCCCAAGTCAGTCCTGCTTATAAGCCTCACAAAGGCCACAAATCTGGCAAACCATCATGTATGCCATTAGGCTTTACTAGTAAATGAATGCTATTTAGGGTTTGTGGTGACAGTAAATTAGGGTTTGGTTGGCAGCTATCATTGTTTCTGTTGGACTTACAGAAATAAATAAATAAAGGTATACATGTAGGCATGTACGCACATGCACTCAGACATTTTTATGAATGTGTGTTCCGACCCATACAAATGATTTTTAAAGGCAAAAAACCAAATCATCTATCAACACGATCCAGGACCTAATAATATGTCATTCCATTGGGAAATAATTGCAATTCCCTAACCATTTTAAGACTGTAAGAATTAATATATTTTCATTTCTATCTCCATGAGAATAACCAGTACCTCAGGTATAGCAACGTCCTAATGGAGGCTTAATCAAATTACAAATGTGAAGGATTTTTAGCCAGTAAAAAAGAGCCATTAAAAAAAAAAAAAAACAACGAAGGCGCAAATCAGTTTTTGATCCCTACTGGTAGGCACGGAAGAAGAGAGACTGTTACACAGGTATGCAACAGATGTGAGCACGCAGTAAGAATGCAACTTTAACACTTCCAAGCGACACCTCAGAGAAGGGGTAAAATACAACAAAATAGAGTCAACAGGCTCTCACTTGCTCACCTCCGTATTTTATTGGAGGGGCTTCAGTAGAACTTTGGGTATCATTTTTCTTTGAACTAATTAAAGAAATAAGTGGCAGTTTCTTTGTGAAAACCATGCTACCTTGTGGTTGCCTCTAAGAATGCACGTATCTATTAATACCTGTAAAGCTCTTAAATGTATTATGCAGCACTTTTTAAAATGTTAAAAAAATGTTAAAAAAGAAATGTCAGGCTAAATTCATTGAGCTCGGTGATTTGCTTTGTACATGGTAAATACCTCACAGGGGAAAAAAAAAAAAAAAAAAAAAAAAAATCTTCAGCTCCTAACCCTAAGTGAGAGGAGAGGCTTTTAAAAATGTGATGCATTTGTTAACCCTTGCGGGAAAAGGATAGAGTTGCTCTACCTAAACTGAGGATTCCTCTACGTGTTCTCTCACGACCGGTCTCACAAAGTCCTCACTGACTGTACTGAAAACTACTAAAATATAAAAAAATACGTAACTCAATATAAAAATTACTTAAATATTGCATCACTTATTTCAGAACAGACGTGACTGCGATTACGCTTTATGTATAGGCTACAGTCTCCCTCCTCACCTCTCGTCCTTCTCAGAGAAGAAGGCGGCGATAAAGCCATCACGGCAATTCCCACTGCCCACACCAAGGTAAACTTTGGTTCTGATTAAAAAGAATTAAATACCGGCGCATGACCCAGTTGCAGGCAGATTTAAGTACTCGGACCATGAGACAATGCAGAGTACCAGGGGGAGGGGGGGACGACACACCTCTGCTTTAATTGCATCCCAGACGGTTCACCCTTCCAGTTCAGAACTGTTTGAGCCGTTTCCTATGAAAACAGCTTACAGAAAATATGCTGGGATTTATTTTCACGTTTTCTTTGCTTTAGCACGCTAACTAAAGCCTGCAGAGACATTTCGTCTCAACTGGGAGACCCTGAGTGAAGGTCCCCCTCCGGGAACAGTTTTTGGTGGGGGTGTGGATTCATCTCCATCAATCACCCGGTGCATTAATCCTGTCCCTCCTGTGCTGCCGGGGCTGGCAGGAGCTTGCCTTTGGGCAGGCGGACGCCTTCACTCTTTGTTGGTTCTCAACGATTTCACAAAAGAGATAACTCGCAAACTTGGCTCGACTACTTGCAGCACAAAGGCAGGATCCCAACTTACAAGTTATCACTGAAACACCCCGAAACGTTTCAGACCACAACGTCTCCTGTCAGGTTCCCTCTCGCCTCCGAGACGGCGGTGGCCTCACCAAACACCCTCTGCCAGTAATCCCCGCTGCTGAAAGGACTTGGGTTTTTCTTCGCAGCTCACCTCTGACATGTGGTTGACTACACTTTCCTTTCAAAACAGTGAGGCTAAGCCCTCTGCAAATAAAGTGATCACAGGACCTACGCCTGCCTCCTTAATTGAAATCTGCCTGCTGCAAAATGTCTGAGCATCGAGGGCAGGTTGCTTGGCTGGCTCCGGAGCAGGACAGGCAAAAAGTTTAGGGAAAGGCGGCAAACAAACCGAAGCCAAAGAAGGACGGAAAGGGGTTACGAGCCCATCGAGGCAAAACGTAGGTAGGTGGGCAGGGAGGGCAGAAGGGGGATCATTCCCCTTATCCCGGGTAATATAATGCAATATAAAGCAGAATCAATCTTAATATTCACAACACAGTCAATACCCTAGTGCTTAGCTGTCAGCAGAAACTGAAGTGGATCCCCGGTAGCACAGAAACCCTTGGACGTAAAGCACCATAATTTACTGAGAACTGTGCACTTTTAGGCTTCTCAGCTGAGATTTGCAATGATTTCACGTTTGTTGTTTTGGTCTATAGTCTTTTATTTTTTCAGTGTGCAATTTAGGGGAACGTGATTGAACACCAACTATAGCTAAAAAGCCAGCCAATGCGTATATTTATTTTTAAAGCCAATTATGATAAATGTTCTTATTATTGTAATACAAAGCACAATACTTTGCAAATTTTCTTCTTTAAAAAAAAAAAACCAACTCTGTAAATTCAGTGATGTGAAAAAATTGCAAAAAAAGCCCCTTAAATGCCTCTCAAAAAACGCAGCGTTTATCAGTGTCACTTCAGCGTAGGAAAAAAATATTTTTTTCGTACTTTGGAGATGAAAATTTTTTGGCATTTTAAAGCATCATCGCCCCAGAGCAACTCAGGCTTCGCTGCGCTCTACACGAATGTGGGGTCAAAGCATCCATCACTTGGCATTTCCTCGGGGTCTCTGTGGGAGTCTCCTTCCCCTGCTCTGCTGACAGGGGCTCAGTGCCGCGCTCCCCAAACCTGGGCAGCGCACACCCTCAGAAAGTTTATTGGCCCCGGGGGGGGGGTGGTGGGTAATAATAATTAAAAAAAAAACACTAAAAACGATGTGAGGTAACACGGATCTGACAAGTTATTTTGTAAAGTGTCCTGACGGTAAAAAAAAGAGGCAGCCCGGGCGCTAGCGGGGCACCTCCAGAGCTGTGAGGAGAGCGGCGCGGGAAGGAAG